CAGCATTTATAACACGGCCCCCAAAGAGCAAACAGGCCTTCTCGCCACCGCTCAACTTCAAGGCCCATAAAAACGGTGCATGAGAAACGCTGTCGGATGGGTTCAGTGTTAGGCTACCCTTCTAATACTGCATGGGCAGTAAAGCCTTATGAGACCCTCGTCTGTAAATGTCATGTAAAATAGTTCAATACCACTTACATACAGATGCGAGTGGACATTTCATCGGTATCACAGATCAAGCAATAGAGTCCATCCTTGAACATTTTTATATGATGCAGTGTACATACTCTGCCCGTTTCTAAGGTTTGATATGCTCTTCAAAGAGCCTTTCCCAAGAAAATCACTGCACTGGTTTTAAACTCGGGTGTAAAGTTGCCAGAGAACAATTCTTCTGAGATGAGCTTGCGTTCTTTTCCAAGGAGATTAGCATGTGAGTCTGCCCCCACGTTAAGAAAAGGAATGTGTTCTGTGTTGCCCACAAACTGCAGGATTAGTCAGGAGAGGGACTCCCTACCCCTCCCTGGTGAACAAGGGATAAGGGGTGCTCTCCTTCAGGCCTGCTCCTCAGCCTCTTCTCTACCTGAACTCATGTGTAACGACCTGTGACAAAACCTCAGCCTCAGCCTCACACTGGCTGCCACAGGCTTACATATAAATGGTGTGTGCACGCAGAAAAACGAATGCAGAGCCACCTTAAAAAAATAATAATCGATGTGCCTTTTACGTATCCTTTCAGGACAGTGTAGTGTTGAGGCATATTTAGGCTCTGCTAAACCGGGATTTAGACATTTGTGAATTAAGATGAGTACATTTATATCATCTTGGTAGAAACTTTAAAATAGTAAGGGGACAGGTTTATTTTCCAGGATTCCTTAGATGGCTTTACTATCATATATTTTCAGGACTCATGACCAAGTTAGTAGGAAAATTGCAATTCGCACCCAGAGAGTCTACAACTTGGAGAGTTTAAAGCAATCCTGGTTTGAAAAGCACACGTTTACACAGGACTGGTAAGAAAAGAAGAGCAGTCCTAGCCCTGGCCTTTTTCATTTCTGCAGTTTCCTTATTGTGAGGGTATAAACTGGGGTCAAGTTAATGAAAAGCCTAATGTCCCAGGCTTTCTACGGTATGTGATTGGTTGTCATTAACATAATCTGGGCCTATAAGTATTTTATTTTGCATCTAAGCATTTCATTGCAAGTAGGATAAAATATCCTAATATTCTTTTGACAACCTTAAAATTTTTCAAAGACCTTTTCACGCTCTTGCATTTGTGTTATTAAGAAACTTGCTAAAGCAGATGAACTTCACTAATGAAACACGGAAGTGGCCTGGGTCTCCTTAAAAGGCCTAAACTAGAACTTTAAGGACTATAGCATAATTCCATAAATTGTAAGTGAACAACAAAACTTTAGCCCAGCACACAAAAGTCCTGGGTCCCAAAGTGATTGTTTTGACCCTAAAACATTATGCACCAGCCAAGAAATACCTTGAATTGACAGTTCTAAATGGAGACTTTATTGCAGATATATACAGGTATCTTCTGTGAAGTATTTTTAAAAAAAAGTATATTTCCTAAAAGTTTCAGTTGTTTACTGTAGCTTATTTGTAGTTTGTTTTCCTTAATTAATTTCCATTGCACTTAATTAATAACTAGTCATGCAAGTGCACTGGATTTCATTTGAATATTTTGATGAAGCGATAAGACCTGCTAATAGAATCTACCTGGGGCACCTTCTCACGGCTTCATTTTCATCCCAGATGTGCAGGTACTACTGGCAGCACAGAGCACCCATGAAAAGGTGCTGCTGCCCTCATCAGCTCTGGGAGTACAGTCAGAAACTGTCTATACCGAAGTAATGTGTGCTCATGCTCTATAAGCCTGATTAAAATTTATTTCTTTGACAATGATTCGTAAGCATGAATTCTGATGATGATCATACCATCTGATGTTGTTTTCTACACAATAGAAAGAAGTGTGAAGAGAGAGGGAGCAGGGGGTAGATTTTAATATCTATCTACTTGAGATTTTCACTAATAGTCTTACATGTCATTGATTCTTTTAGGTGGGAATAAACCCCTCTCTTCTAACTATAATGCTTTGGCTTACAAATAATGACTTGCTCATTCTATGATAAAATTTAATTCAACTTAACAACATGCCCTGGTTCGTATAGATTAAAAGTTGGATTTCTAAAAGTGCACAGATGTTATTTTCTGTTTTCAGGTTTGTCTTCTCTCTCTAGATATAAAACTCTATAAACATGAAATAAAATGGGAAAAAAAGCTTATAATTTTAAAATACTCACAATCATCATTTGGAATTGCTTTGATTTTACCATTTTAAAGTGAAAAAAATAACTTAAAACCATAACTTGCACACAAATAAAATTAATTGTATTTATTTATTTTTCTTCTCACAAAGAATGAAAATTAAGTTACTATAAATATTGTATGAATGGCATTTACAACATAAATCTGCAATCATACACCTTTTCATATTCTGGACTTTCCATTAAAAATTCACATCTAAATTGCTAAAAAAACATGTAAGCTCATACAACATATAATTAGCTAAAAGTTAACTCATTCATTATTTTGTTTCTCTTACACTTGGAGCTTAAAAAAAAAAAAAGGCAATTTCTGTGATGTTAAGGATACCACCAACTAAAATAAGGATATATACCACAGGCCATAAAAATGTTATTAAAGAACTCCCTGGATAGCTTCTTTTATTTTTACTTTTTAATATAATATACTAAAAAACTTTTAAATAGTTTATTGCACAATAACTGGAATGCATGCATTCTTAAGCAAAACTGCCTTTGCATTTAATGTATTTTTAAAAATAAATATTTGAAAAGTGTATCCACAATGTTCCTAAGAAATGGTTTTGAATTCCTGAGTCCCAAGGAGATGAATTGGCTGTCAGATAACAATGTGCTTCCATCAGATGGACTTGGCAGTTGTAAACAAAAGGAATTTTCTCAGCTTTTCCTCACAAATATGAAATATTTGCTCTCGGCCAACAGCTGGGTGATTTAAAGAAGTCCTGCATATATATTAGTTTTCATTCAAAATTACAAATCCTCCTCCCACTCTGCAACATCTGATCACATCTTAGTAGAACAGAAAATTGTTCTGCGATGAAGTGACATTCCCAGGGGAAGTCAAAGTCAAAAACTAGTACCTACTTACAACTCTAATCAAATTTCAGATCATACGGCATCTGGTTAATAATTTTTAAGAAAAGTTAATTTATTCAAGATGAAAGGTTAAATGATACCCTGGAGTGGCTTAAAAAATAATGAGAAAGTTTGATATGTTGTAATGTTTCTAAAGGTTTGATATGTTAGAATATTTCTGAAAACGTTTACTATACAACCTAAATAGAAGCTGCCTGAAAAGCCACTAAGTTTCCCACAATAATTTGAAAGTTGTTTAAGAATCAAACATATAGGTTTCCATGTGGTGACTAGTTAAGTTATTCATGAAAAAACTGTTAATATTTAAATGATCATTTAAAATTATGTATTCAACTTACTAAACATTAAAATTATATCGATACTTCTTTTTAAATGAATGCACTAAAATACCTTTACAAGATATTAGGTATTCGCTATTCATAAAAGCCTATGAAGGAAATCAAAGAATAAATATTTTCAGAGTATTTTTATATATGAATAGGTAATGAACTTACGGACTTCGTTTATAAATTTAACGAAATGTTTGCCTTATTTTTATTCCTCTCTCCCTAACAACCTCAAAGTAGTGATTTTAAATGTACTTTTAATTCCAGAATAATATTCCCTATATTGTAAGATTTACCATGGATAAAATTTTATAGTAAAATAAATTAGGCATCTCTGTGTTTAATGTACTTGAGGTGATAAACATGTATCCTATATATTTACACATATCTTAGAAGTTGACAAGCATTTTTCTATTTAGAGACAATTACACAGAATTAACTTTTGCCCTTAGGTCCAGTGAATGTGAATGTACAATGCCTAAAACTAACTTAATATTTCATTATTTTAAATAAGCGCTTTATTTTTACCTAAAGTACCTATTAAAGCAGTCATGGAAACATTACAATAATCCTTGCTACTTCTAAAAAAGTTGTATTTGCCCTTAAAATGCAAATCTACTAAACTTGAATTATCAAGACATATGAGAAATGGAATTCATACATCAAATTACAAAGTGTGTAATTTATCCTAATTATTACAGACAGATGTTTTGTCCTTTGTAGATACACACTGTAGATATAATATAGTAATGGCACTCAGGTAATATATACCAATCCTTAAAATTTTGTGTCTGAAAAAAAAAAGTATTTTAAAGTCTGAATTCCATTTCCCTTTTTGGAAAAAAAATAACCACCCTTGGAAGACATAATTCTTACTTCCATATCTGTTAATCTTTAAATGATTTTTCCAGCAGAAAAACTTAGAAAGTCACTATAAAATAATGAAATACAATTGTGAATAGAAGTAATTACCAATATTCACCGTCAGTGTTAAATATCAGAAAGCAAATCTTTATCATTAAGAATTTAAAATAATTCGTCAACTATCACTGATGACACACAAAGAAACAGCATGGAAATGAAAATACTATTAGCAAAACTTTTCTTTTCCATAATTCAGCATGAATGCAAATAAAATGACCACCTTTCTTCCTACATAAGCAAATAAAACAAACTACATGAACAATAAGAAAACCATGTACATCTCAAGTACCAAGGCAGTGCTTATCAAGGGAGTAAATGTTTCAGGAAAGTAAGTCTGTATTTTTAGCTTTATTTCAAGTTAGTCCTATTTATGTAAAAAAAGGGGGTCTTTTTTTTTAAATGAGTCTGAAAGCCACTTATTCAACCTCTTGTTTCTATAAACTTTCAAAGACTAAGACATGAAATTAAAGGCAGGGACTTTGAAATTCAAGTATTTTTAAAAACACAGTTATGTCGTCATGAGTTTGGAATTGAAAATACTTACAGTCTCTCCAGTTCTTTAAGATCCTGGAATGCTCCTCTTTCAATGGTGCTGATCTTATTCTCCATGAGCTGACTGAAATGCAAAATATAGCAGGAGTCTTAATGTTAGCCCTCACCGTCAGAATAAGTTTCAATTCAGCAACTAAAATGTGCAACTTCTTTCTCTTTCTCTTTATGAAGTTAAATTTTGCTCTGGTTTGAGATTTAATATCAAATTCAATGATGATATATTTGAGAGAAGTCAGGGAGGAGAAATAGCATCCACACCCCAAAACTTCCAGGAAAAAATCCTAACAGTGACATGAAATTCACTAGCCAAAACTCTGCACCTTAAAGCATAGTATTTTCTGGAAAACAACCTATGGCACTGGAGCTCTGATGGATGTTTTTCAGTAAACTGACTTTCAACTGAGGTCTTAACTAAGAGAATAAATATATAATAATTCATCATACACATAGTTCAGTTAACTTATGGATATGCATCAGAAATTGGACGCATTCATAATGTTCAAGTGTGTCTTTTAAAAGAACACTGAACACACAATGATCCAAGTATATGTTCACTGTGAGGGAAATATTTACAAACCTGAGGGGAAAAGAATTTTACATTATATTGAATCTCAAATGATGTTTCACTCAGAACTAATTTAACTCACTAATGAAAGAAGTAATTCAATTACAAGAATTTTATAAAAGTTACAGAGATATAAAATATAAGAGTTAAAAATATGACCAGTGTACTTTCATAAAAAAACATGTCCCATCATAAACTCTGTAGAAAGCTGGATTGTTTGATTTTAATTTTAGAAATTATATGCGTGTTGTTTGACAGAAAAGGCTAAACATTTCTATATTAGTAGTAAAAATGCAGACCCACTTAAATTATTTCTAGTAAATCTGAAATCCTAAAAGTGCATCAAATGTCTCACATTACTTATTCATATTGTGAAAGTAATTATTCTACATTTTTATATGTCTAAGGCACTTAGGGTATGGCATTGCAAACACTTGAGGCCATTTCTACAGTACTGTTTCTATGGCCTGCATCCAACCTTAAAATAAAAGCCTACATTTTAATAAAAGTTGTAGTATAGTGGTAAACTAAAAAAGAAAGAAAACCTAGACCTTATAAATGTTTATGTTTTTGTTATTTGGACAGTTTTTAATATTGAGACCAGTAACAATTCAAAATATGCAAGCTTAAAAAAAAAGAAAGAAAATTATTCAAAACACAGAAGAACGTACTTACAGAACTCTTAGATGTCTAAGGCCGGCAAAATCCATTTTGGTAATCCGTGTGATGTTATTTCCATTCAAATCCCTGAGAGAAAACAAAAAAGAAAATGAAAGTCCCACTTTATTTCTATCAATAGCTAGTTAAAAATTAAAAACATAAACTAAATAAGAACTTGAAGTTAAAGATCAGTTCCAATGACTAAAGCAGTTTGCAAAGTAAAAGAGATAAAGGGGTAACCTTTGCAGGAATTTTTTAAAATGATCATCAACAAGTTTACAGAGTCCCTACCTGCTGGCATGAGACATGAAAACGGATTATCTTGTCACAAGAAGTGCTCTTTTTTTGCATGTATAGGAGTGCTTTCAATTTTCGTTTCTTAGTTTTATATTTTTTAATCATTTTTCTTATTTTTCAGGTATAGTTGGCATTCAGTGTTACAGTAGTTTCAGGTGTTTGCTCCAGTGATTAGACATTGTTTAACTTACTATGTGATCATTCTGGTAAATCTCACACCCATCTGACACCATACACAGTTATTAGAATATCATTGATTCTGCTATGCTTTACAGCCTCATATAATCAAGTTGTACTTCGTAATCCCTTCACCTCTTGTCATCCATTCCCCAAACCCCTCTCAACTAGCCACCATCAAAATGTTTTCTGTATCTATCAGCCTGTTTCTGCTCTGCTTGCTCACTTATTTTGTTTTTAGATTCAACTGTGGATAGATATGTATCTATTGCCATTTTATTATTCATATTTTTAATCTTTTTTTTTCTTCTTAAAGAAGACCTTTTAACATTTCATGTAATAGTAGTTTGGTGGTAATAAATTCCTTTAGCTTTTTCTTGTCTGGGAATCTATTTATAAGTTCTTCTATTCTAAATGATAGCTTCCCTAACCTGGTGAAGGAAATAGACATACAAATCCAGGAAGTGCAGACAGTCCCAAACAAGATGAACCCAAAGAGGCCCACACCAAGGCACATCATAATTAAAATGCAAAAGGTTAAAGACAAACAGAAAATGTTAAAAGCAGCAAGAGAAAAACCCTTATCTACAAGGGCGGACCCCAAAAGACTGTCAGCTGATTTCTCAATAGGAACTTTGCAGGACATAAGGGAGTGGCAAGAAATATTCAAAGTGATAAAAAGCAAGGACCTACAATCAAGATTACTCAACTTTTGTTTGTATAAGGATATGTATATTGACTTCACAGGAATTCTGCTATTATTGTTAGGCACATCCCCAAAAAAGTTCCCTTCAAAAAGTTAAAGGAACAATATTTTAATACTACTCTGGAAGAAATTTTAAATATCCCAAATTCTCTCCTGAGGTGGCAGGGTGGCTGAACTTCCTAAGGCAAAGAAGGAAGTGCCATCAAAAGACCTGCACTTCAAAGACTTGCATTTATAGGCATTTACCTTCCAACAATTCTATGTTTGTATGAAAACTAAACTAAACTCTTCTTTTGCAGCTTAGGGAGCCCCTTTTACCCCCCTCCCCCCCACTGTGGCTGTAAAGGGAAAACTGCTAGCTGGGGCAATAATGCAAATAGTATTCAGGCCCTGACGGGTTCTTTTTGCTCAGATTTCAGCACCAAGTTTCCTTCAAGAGTCACACAACCCCTTCTCTGGCATCTTAGGTCAAGATCTAAATTTGCCCTGGTTCCAATCATGTCAAGTAAAACCAGGCTTCGCTGTGGTTTAAACGTTCTCCTTCACGGAAGTAAGCCTTCTCTTAGTTTGACTTTATAAGATTGTGTTTGAAATCTATATTTAATGAGTCAGTGATAGAACTGTATACGCCATCACTGAGTAAACTATTTTCTGAAAACTCTATACTAGTAGATTCCTCATAGGGATTTTTTTTCCCCCAAAGACATAAAACTCACTTGCTATTTTGTCCCTTTTTGTTAAGTTAAGACATATTAGTACTTAAAACTGTTCTGAATAGCATGACATGCCAAGTGCTGAAACAGAATTCTGCATTGCTTTCTCCCCAACCCACTCTCCACATCAGCTGAGCAAAGTACCATCAAGTTGTCCCTACAATTACTGAGGTCTTCACTGGCTAGTTGACATAATACAATGCCCTACTCCCAACCCTGGACACATGTGGTGGTTCACATTTTAATAAGACACCCTTAGTAAGGCGCCAACTTACCCAGCGCTGAGGGAAGGAGTGAGGCTGGGATGGGGGAGCCATTTGCAAAGAATCAAGGGTTCAACTCTGGCCTTTAAACTGTGGGCCAGGCAAGTGGATTAGATAAGTTCAATTTGGTTTACGTGCTGAGTGAGGGCCCTGCTAGTGGAGACGTGCAGATTGGAGCAAGTCCTCTCTGCAGCGTGCAACCCTCATATCCTGGGGCGTAGAGACCTGGAAGCTAAGTCGGGAGCGCTGGCCCTGGCCGTCCTTGTCCCGCACCCACCCTGACCACCGGGCCCACGCGAAATGGCGAGTGGAGTGCGCCCAGGGCGCTTGGGCAGCGCCCAGCACTGCCCACTGTGATCACAAAGAGAACGGCCTCCATGCTCCACTTCCCTGAACTCAAGGGGTGCCCCAACTGGAGCGCGTGGGCCGGCCATCAACACCGGCTCTGGGATTACTTCTTCATTAGAGACTCGCAGAGACAAGGAGGCGGGGATGTCTGCGGGCAGTGGAGCGGGAAGAGGGGAAGGCAGGGGAGCTGCTGCCAGAGGAAGGGACACAGAAACTGCCAGAAAGGTGGACGGGAGCACTAGGGCCCCGCCGAAAGGGCTGGAGGGGGCAGCCAAGGGCTGCAAAGTCCCTGAACAGTGAGACCTGAACTGGGCTGGGTCTGGTTAGAGAGGCAGCCCTAATTTCGCCTAAGGTTGGGAAGTGGACCGCTTCTGCAGTCGCCTCTGCGACAGGTCCCTAGGGGCCCGCCACAGCCTGCTTTCCCAAGAGAAAGGGGGGGGGGGGCGGGAAACAGGACAGGGAGTCACGCGTGGCCACAGCTTCCCGGGGCATCCTTCCCTCCGTGACTCTTGGGTGGATCCAGACGCCTCAGGATCCCTTCTCCCCTCCCTGCGGACCCAGGGGGGCTACACAAAGCCAAGGAGTGGAGGTTTCTTCTTTTGAGTCCCCCCGCCAGTCCCTGCGCCACCCCGCGGCGACCAGAGTGGGGACTCGGCCTGGAAACTGCCCCGCGAGTCTTGGCAACGCAAGGTGACTCTGTTGACTGAGTCTGGGGAGCAAAGTCCTGTCTTCCTTGCCCCGAGCACCCGCGATCACTTGTCCTCCATCAAGTTCCTTGACGCCCCAGGTCAGAGAACTGGACGGCACAGGTCTACGTGCATCAGGACAAGAGCGGGGAGAAGGGACCCAGTGCAGCTGCCAACAGTCCCGCCCCTCCTTGGGCAGCGCCCTCCTGTCCTTCGCCCCCCCAAAGCCTCCAACCTCAGGATGGGCGTGCAGAAGAGCTTGTGGGGGCTGCCCCTGGCACAGGGACCGATGCCGCTAAGTCCTTCCAGTCTCCATGCTTGAGGCACACGACCCTGATGGGGCGGGGGGGGGGGGGGGGCGGGGGGGAGGAGGGGGGCGGAGAAGAGCCCATACTCACAGCCTCTCGGTGTTGCGGGGGATGTTCCTGGGCACGCTGCGCAGCGCCAGTCCGTGGCAGTCCACCGTGCTGCCCGAGCAGGAGCACTGCGCCGGACACGCTTGAGACGCCACCTGGTTCAGGATCGCCAGCACCAAGCCCAGAGCCAGGGACAGCGTCTGCCAGCCGCCGCCGCGCATCTTCCCCCGCCGCCGCCTCCTCGCTCGCCAGTGCCGGTGGTTCCTCTACCGCACGCTGCTGGGCGCCAAACGCGCTGGGGCTGAGGCCCAGGGTCTGGTGCAGGGCTAGCAACCCAGAGTGCCCGGGCCAATGTGCAGGAAATAAGGCGGACGTGACAGTTCTAATATTCAAGGTAGAAGAGCTTGGCACAGGTACCCGCCTCCCACCTCCCCTCCACCCTACTCCAGCGGGGCGGGCGCTCCTTGCAGAACTTTAGGTCCTGAAGATGAGTCGGTCTGGCTAAGGCTGTTCGAAGACCCGGGAGACGCCGGGAGGAGATCAGGAGTCGCCAAGACCAACTTGGTGGGAAAGAACTGGGCTCTCAATAGCCGCGAAGATGCAGGAGCCCGTGGCGCGGGGAATGGGCCTGCTCGGGTTCCACCACCTCCTCTGTGAATCCGATTCCGGCGGGAGGCTCAGAGGCAGAAGAGGGAGGCTCAATAGGAACGCTGTCCTTGATGAAAGCGGGCTCTCTGGAGCTAGAAGGCGCAGGGGCCCCGTGGGCCAGGAACCGTGCGTGCAGGGCCACTGGGCATGGCGCGCTGGGGCGCACAGGCGGGCGCACAGCCAGGGGGCGCGGGGAGCTGCTCCCGGAGACCAGCGCGGCTCCCTCGCAGGGCTCCCCCTGACCCGCGGCTCCTCGGCGGCAGGGGCTAGTCCTCGCTGTCTCCCGACAGCCCACGTTCAGGGCGGTTTGCAAAAACACATGCACTTCGCGGAAGGCTGCCTCCGCAATCCCGCCTCCCGCCGGGCGTCCTAGGCGATGCTGGGCACTCGGGCCTGCCCGGAGGTCAAACAGGAAAGACAAAAGGGCACTGGGGCCGCAGCAGCCGGCGGTAATATCCACTAGTCACGACCCTGGCAGAGGAAATCCAAGAGGCCAAGTTGAGGACGAGAGCTCCTAGGAGGACTGCTGGCAGGCCAGCCTGAAGGAGTGGAAAGGCCAAGGTGGAGGTGTCCGCGTCCCGCGTCCTGCGGGAGTGTCCGGGGGAGGGGGGATGGCGTGGTGGCAGTTGGCCGGTGGGCGCCCAGGGGGCAGCGAATGGCAGTCCGCGTGCGCGCCGGTGCCGGCCCCTCCGGTCTCCCGGAGACCGCGCAGCTCCGCGGCAGACACCTGATGGCAAAGGTGGAAGAAACCAGAGCGGGCTCCCGGGCGGGCGCAGCCCCCCGCTCCGCCCCTCGACGGCCGCCCACAAGTGGGTCCTCCTCCTCCAAGTGAGGAACTTTTCCCAGGCTCAGCAGCCCGTCCGCGGCCACGCGGGGAGTCCTCCTGCCGCCGTCGCGACGCCCGGCTCCCGGCGCTGCACCTGACGCTGCGGCCGCGGTCCCGTCCGGAGCAGCCCGTCTCCTCCCGGCCCCTTCTCCTCTCCCGGCGGCTTCGGCTCGCCCTTCTCCGGGCTGGGAAGCGGGGGCGAGGGCCGGTGGCGACCCGGAGCGAGGGCTGGGTGGCTCCGCGGACTCCGGAGCTCCAGGCAAGTGTCTAAACAATAGGATGGACGCGGCAGCCCGGGCTCCCGCGGCTGCGGGAAGGTGGCTGGCGGCGGTGCCTGGAGGTGTTCGCTTGGGCTGCCTGGCGCCGAGCCCCGCCGAACAACCGCCGGGCCAGCGCCTCCGGAGCGGCTGCCGGGTCCCGGACCGGACGCTCCCCTTCCTCTCAGCGCTCCCGCCGCGCCCCGAAAACTCCGCAGCTCCAGCCGGCGCCCGGGAGCCACGATGCTCCCATCACTCGCTGCTGCCTTTTTTTTTTTTTTTAATCACCTTCTGTGGCAGCCTCTGCGGCCGCTGCCGCCACCACCTCCACCACCAGCCCGTGCGGCTGGCGCGCTGGCCAAATAAATAACCCCAAGTCCCAAGTTAACCGGCGCCACCGGCCTTATATACCCGGCCGGCCCCCAGCCTCGGCCCCGCCCCGCGCCGCCGGCCCCGCCCACTGGCCGCGCAGGGAGCCCGCACCTCGCCCCGGAGAGGTAGGGCCACAGCCCAGCGCCCGGCCAGGAGGCGGTTGGCGGCGCGGCGCGTTCCCATGCACCACGACTAGCGCCCTCGCTCCCACGCGCAGCAAAGTTTTCCGGGGAGGAACCGGGCCCCCGGGCCCCCGCCCCCAGTTCCAGGTCCCCAGGGGTGACCCGGCCTCGGAGATGGTGGCTCCCAGTGGGGGCCTGGGGAGAGGGCGGCTTGGAACGCGGCGTAAACAGCGCTGCCAGTTGGTGCTTCTGCTGCAGCCTTTGCCACGCGATCCTAAGGGGGCTGCTCGGGGTTTGCAGCGCAGCAAGACAGAGAGAGGATGGTTTTTTAAAAAAATGTTTTTAAATCCTACCAAAATAGATCTGCCTGCGCTCACAGACACGCACACGTGTATTTTGGGGAGCTTCAAAGTTCAGAGTTTTTGCAAGTGGGAAAACGGTGGTTTTCCACCTTCTATCCAGCCTGCCCATGTCTGGAACACCCCCTTCCGTTTAACCCTTTCCTTATCATCACACGCTTGACAATACCAAGCTCAGTTGATGTCTTGAATATGTAATATGCTCACAAAACTCTAAGGGCGTGAGTATGTGTGTGATTTTAATGAGGAGGGGAAAAATAAATTCCTAGCAAGCACCTTGCATGGGAAGGAAGTTACGAATATTTTCCCCCACTATGTCTTGGAAGAGAATTTCCTGGTTTCTTTTTGTCTTTCTAATGTGATGTGTGTCTGGCAACTGCTGCCACCCTCCAGCTCCGCCCTCACCGCCCCCCTCCCCCCAACTAAACCAATGTCGCTATTGGTTTGTTGACATATAAATCCATCAGTAACTTTGCATGAATTTAAATGCCTCACCTAACCCTCCCTTGCCCCATTTCCATCAGGGCTGTCAGGGGAATTTGTGCAAGCCCCCAGCCTAATGCCAATTTCACAGTGTGATAATTATTTGTATAATTATCTGTCACCCATTTGAAAGAAATAGGATCTGTCCAATTCCCCTTTTTATGTCCAACATCTAACAATAGGCTGGACACACAGTAGGAACTCTGAAACGGACTGATTTCTTTAAGACAATAATATACTCAATCTGAAGTTTCTCCATTATCCCCATTAATATTTTTCCTACTTAAGTTTTTCAAAATGTCTTTCCCCCTTGGTCCCACTCTACCCCACTCCAGGCCCTTCCTCAGGCCTTCACTGCACTATAGTCTGTGTCTATGTAAAATGTCTTTTTATAATAGCTACCTCTACCTATGTCATTTTGCCTGCCCTCGAAAACTTTTAAGGGCATTTTGAGGACATTTCCAAAGACAAGGTACTCTTAGGATACTCATAGATTTACAATGCTTGATTCTTTTAAAGAATCCCAGACATTTATTAACTCTCATTTGTCCTTCTAGATTTTAGCTTAAAGTTCTTAAGAAGGAGAAGGTGGAAGCTATATTCACATTTTCTTTAAAGGAACATGAGATAAAGAACAAGTACCTATCATTGATGAAGAATTTTCCTATCCCTCTCTACCCCCTTCTATTCCCAGTGAATTTTCTTTAGTCTATACCAGTGAATCATATGGTTGAAATATGTTTACTACCACACTAAATTCATTAATTTCACAATTTTTATACCTTCTTAGCAACAGGATGATTTATGTTCAATTTTACCCACCACATAGAATCATTTCTCTATATTTTATTTGCAAAAAAAAAAATATCCTGTATTCCAATATCCTACATAATAAAAGGCTAATATGCAAATCAACCACACTGTGGAAAGACCAGTCACTATGACATGCACTGATCACCTGGGGGCAGATGCTCAATGCAGAGCTACCCCCTGGTGGTCAGTGAGCTCCCGCAGGGGGAGTGCTGCTCAGCCAGAAGCCCAGAGCCGGGCTCATGGCTGGCGAGTGCAGCCGTGGTGGCAGGAGCCTCTGCTGCCTCCACAGCAGCACTAAGGTAGTCTGACTGTAAAGCTTAGCCCACTCCCCGTGTCAGACATCCCAAGAGGGCTCCCAGACTGCAAGAGGGCACAGGCCAGGCTGAGCCCCCACCCCCCTACTAGTGCACAAATATCGTGCACAGGGCCTCTAGTTCACAAATAATGCTATGTGATCATTACACAAGGCAAGTCATAGACATAAGTTCAAGTTCGATTCTTTCTCTGGCTCACTTTCCATTCTGTGTACAATGGAGAAAAGAGCTGAAAGTAGCATTCAGAGCAACAGGCCTACAGAAACATATAGTTTAACTTGATGCAAATTTAAATAAGAAGGTATGTCCAATGGATTTTATTAAGAAAAAAAGAGGAAGATTGCAACTAATCCATAAGAGACATGGCACATTAATTTCTGTCTATCAACTTTTCAGGTAATAAAGGGAAATTCATACATGAGTGACCAGTTTTCTCATTTTTACAAATAGTTTATATTGTTTCTTCAGTATTATTTCAATGTGTTTTTAGAGGCCTTACCTTGCTTCACTACCATTAAGTTCTAGGTCTTAATTCTCTGTTGCTCCCAAATGAGTTCTGAGTTTCTCTTTGACTCTGTTCCCCCCTCCTGAAGGAAGCCCTTTGTGGTGCCTCTTATCACCACATGAGGTCTCCATAAATCCTGACCTGGATTAACCAGAAGTGGAATCCACTAGAGTCAACATTCACATCTCCTATTACGTTGAAAAAAAACAAGAACAAAAACAGTTACTGAAGTAATTTAGAAAACAATTTAGACACTTAAAAACCTATACAGTTTTCTGCCATAACCGGTTTGGCTCAGTGGATAGAGCGTCGGCCTGCGGACTAAAAGGTCCCAGGTTCGATTCCGGTCAAGGGCATGTACCTGGGTTGCGGGCACTTCCCCAGTGGGGGATGTGCAAGAGGCAGCTGATCCGATGTTTCTCTCTCATCGATGTTTCTGGCTCTCTATCTCTCTCTCTTCCTCTCTGTAAAAAATCAATAAAATATATTTTAAAAAAAAAAAACCTATACAGTTTTTAAAAAATACAGAGCAAGACATTTTCTCTATTTGCATTTTC